TTATCTTAGAAACATGGAGGGAACAGTGTGGCTCTGAAGTCAGTATACACATAGATGCTTTTTTTCCCTTTTAATTTGTCAAACCTGACTCACAGACTTTTCTCTGTGATACACTGGGATAAATCCCTTCAGATAGCTTTAAAAATGTGTGCCGCATTCTTCAGTTTATAACTTTATCCCTCCTCTAAAGGTTTTCTGTAATTGTGTCTCATGCACCAAGTGTGATTCATTTTGAAGATTTCAAATCAATCAATGCTAACCACCAGAGGGCACTCTGGTAACAAAAATGTTGTGCTTTCCCCACAATGGTGTGCCTTGGGTCTGATGTTATGCATTTCTCAGTGGAGATAACTCACAGCTGTATCGCAATTGGATTTCTTATCTAATATTTGGCTCATGAATTCAGTTCTACTCAACAATGCAATTTTTAAACTTTCAAGCGGTTTTCAAAATAGACTTTAATTAAATTTTAAATTTCCCAAAATAGACTTTAAAGAGATTCACTCAGTTTTCCACCCCAAAGACAGGATTATACCCCACACAGCTGCATATTTTTGGAGTTGTGGAAGTTTCATATGTCACTGCGGCGCCAAACCTTGCATAAATAATTCAGTTGCTAGGGTGAGTCACTGATATAGACACACTTTCTTCTGAACTCACAGTGTTGTCCAAAGTTGCAGGTCTGTGGGCCTCCGGTTGTCTGGTGGCATCAACCTCTTCTGTCCAGGCAGCAGCTTTCTGCTGGAGAGTAACACCGTTCTGCAACACATCATCATCAACACACACACACACACACACACATGCAGATAAATATTTTCCCCATTAGTAAGTGAGGATTAACACAGTTGCAAGCTTAGGTCAGAGCAGCTTATTTTAATACTCATTTGGCCAAAAAGAGGAAACTGAACACAATCTTCAGAGCGGTGCTATTACACATACCATTCGTACAACTGAAAAAAAAAAATGTAGGTTTAAATCAAAGTAGTTTTATTAGTCTTGCCTTACAAATATGCCACCAGCATGCCTTTCTGTTTACAAGACCGAAATCTGTTTCATCTGGAAAAGGCTGTGGCATTAAAAGTTTGTGAAAAAAGTTTATCCCATTAGGCAATAACTGCCAGATGGGGCCAACCTTTTGAGCATAAGCAACAAACAAAACAAAAAAACAAAAATCCCAACTTCTGATTATGAACTCAGCAAAAACTTTTGAGTCTCTGAACTCGATATTTAATTTCACATCTTATTTACTACAGCTTGATATTTATTTTGTAAATCATGGCCCCATTTTCGGTAAAATAGATATTAATGCCAGGAATGCTTTTGGGAATTCCCTGCGATTTGTTAGTAACTAACAAATTGCAGAGAATTCCCAAAAGCAATTAACCGTTAGTTGTTACTGAATAGCTGTGCAGTGTCTGCATTGTCTAAAAACCAAATTGGTGATGCCCGAAATGTTTGACTTAAAGCAGGGGTCCCCAATACCAGTCCACGAGGGCCGGTGTCCCTGCAGGTTTTAGATATCACCCTGGGTCAACACAGCTGAATCACATGATTAGTTCATTCCCAGGCCTTTGGAGAACTTCAAGACATGTTGAGAAGGTAATTTATCCATTTAAATCAGCTGTGATGGATCAAGGACACATCTAAAACCTGCAGGGACACCGGCCCTCGTGGACTGGTATTGGGGACCCCTGACTTAAAGCTTCAAGACAAAGGTCCACATTCGCTACATCTGTGCTTTATATGCAAGCTATGTTGCAGACATAGTACACCCCAACAGGAAAATCCACCACGCCTACCATGTAAGGTGCACAGGCACAAGGAACAGAAAAAGGAGCCCAAGAGATTGGGTATGTTCCAAAAGTACCTCCTATCACCTTTTCTAACCACTTGTCCTTGACCTCGATGACATTTTTACTGTGATCAACAACAAGCGGTGGGTAGGAGAATTCGTATGGACGCAGGACATGAGAAGAGCGATTTGCTGAGCATCCAAACGACCCTTGTCTCCTAAAATGATGTGAGGTCACTGTGTTGAATCAACAGTGTGCAGAATATGAACTACAGAACACACGTCTTACTTCACCACAACTTGTTCTTAGCCTAAAGCTTCAAAATGAGAATGACATGAAAACTAACACTTCATCAAAAAGGTTGGAACTTTAAAAAACATATAGGGCCAGATTTACAAAGATTATATGGCAGCCCAAAGCCTTCTCACACAAAAAGCTTTTAGATTTACTAACAGTTTTGTGAACATCGTGGATATTTTTGTTTTTTGTTGTTTTTTTGAGTTTTTTGGCAGCTGGCCTGTGACGTATATATGATGTATCTGTGACGTATATTATGACGCACGTATTTGCAAAAGTGATTTACTCACATTTGTGGTGCATTATTTATTGTAAATTGCACAAAATCTAACACAAATAAAGCCTATTGCCTGTCGTGGTTGTCATAGTTGCTTCTCACGTCTTTATGTGGAACAAGAGGGGTAAATTTTATCAGACCAAGTGTGTTATTGGTATGGATGGATGGCTCAAAACTTTGGTTCTGTCCTAAAACTCTTGACTCATAATTCACCCTGAGTAATTAGAGGCTTATTTCTGCTTGTCAGTAATGCTGGTATTGTAACACAGCAGATCAGAAATTAACTTGACAGAGCTGTTTCTCAGCAGTGCGCACACAGCGAGTGATTTCTCTCCAGTCTTTAATAAATAAAATTGAAATGTTTGTCAAAAGCTTTTTGCAGCTAATAATGAGATTATGTCACTATGTTAGATGAATACTCAGAATGTTACCTTCGTTAACACAAGGCAGCTCAAATTCTGATGGTAAATAACATTTGGCATTCTTCTACACATCCTATAGGTCAGCTGTTCCACACAGATTTCAGTTTTATACAGTGCAATAGTTTGTAATATTGCAGCTCTCCTCTGGATAAATCCAGCTCTCCACCTCGGTCTCAGTCCTCAAGACTTCAAACCCAGTGCCAAGAGGTTTCTAACAGAAGAGTTATCCCTCATATCCTTCAGACTCCTCCCACTGATCTGATCTGCCTCACTGGTTTCTGAGAGTGGAAACTATACACGCGCCTATGCACTGTAATATTTTGGTTAGTAGGCCCAGATAACTCTCCCTCATGCTTCCTCATTGAGTCAGGGGCTGCTCTTGGTAGAATGCTGGTTAGTACTGCGAGACAACAAAGACAGCATCGTTTAAACCAAACTAAATTCTACGGACGCTTGAACGCACTTTGATCAATTAATATAGCTCATAATCTTGATTTAGAAAGTTGATATAGATCAATGTTGTGTAAGGCAACAACGGGACGAGAAGAAGATTATTTTTTACAGCAGTGTGATGTTCAGAGTTCAACTGTGCATTTAACAATCTGTTGTTGAAACTTCAACATTGTTCAGCAGGTTAAGGCTTGAAATGGGAAACACAATTATAATTCACATTTACATGATATGACATGCTGTCACTTATGGGATGGCGTTTTCTCCTCTCCTTTCATAAAGGATGGTCCGAGTGTTTTCTGTGCTAAAGGGGGTAATAAAGGAAGTAGTGGAGCTTATTTCTTAGGCAACAGGAGAATTGGAACATTTCTTATTATGTCTGCCACACAGACACTTACGCATCACTTCACTCAGTTAGGAACCTTCCTGAGCAAAATGGAGTACTGGAAGGTATCAAGTGATCCAAACAACAAACTTTCCAGATCAAAATCTGATCAGCTGCAATGAGCCTGTTCCACATGGCCCAAACCCTCATAAGACCTGAAGGATCCCCTGCCAGCACCCTGGTGCCACTAAACCCACAGACCTCCTTGTTCACATCATGTTTAAGCTGCTTTGGTGGATTTTATGCTCCCCTCCCCTTGTGTTTTTTCCTCTTTGCTTCTTCTCCTTTGCTCCTCTCTCTCCTCTCTCACTAGTCCCCTTCTTCCTCCAGTATGTCAGGGGGAGTAATTGATCCTTTCCCTGCCCCTATTTAAAGAAGCCCAGGAAAAGGAGTTCTCTGACTCCCAAACAAAACAGCTCTCTGATATCCCCACACCCTTGATTTTTCCTTTAGCGATTGAAGACATATTTTGTTTCTTTCTTTGTTAGCTTAGATTTCTTACCATATTTGTATCAAGAAGGAAGTTCTGGGTCCTTTGTCCCAGGCACCTTACACCTTTTCCCCCCATTTATTTTGCCAGAGCTCAGGACCTATAGTTGATGTTTTTTCTGTTTACGTTTTTCAGTTTTCCGGTAAACTAAAACTCAGTGTGGTAAACTAAAACTCTTTCTTTTTTACGTCACTAAAATAAGTTGAGCCTTCATATTTTTGTGGCAATAGTAACTATAACTGTGCTCCTATCATGTCAAATCTATTATTAAATTGCATGAGATAATCTGTGGTTAAATAGTAACTGTGTCTCTGCTGAGCTCCGGCTTCATTACATCTGCTGATTTAATCTGACTTTCATGATTTCGATCATTCATGAGCATCTTTCCTCAGATTCTTTCTCTGTTATTCATATACTGCATTTTAGCATCTCTTTGAGCAGCTTTCAAACTGCTGATCATAAAGGCATACAGCAGAGTGGCCACACCTTACTTGCTTATTCTCACATGATGGTAAGATTAGTTGTTATGAGGTCATATTTAATATGTTGCAAGGGTCTGTTTTGTACAGTAGTAGTTGTAGCATACGGTTCAACCAACATCTGCTCAACAGGAACAACTAACATGAAATGTTGGTAGAGCGGTATCATAAAAAGTGAAACAAATATCATAAAAGTGAGTCCAGAGTTCAAAGACACAACCTGCAACCAGGCTTGCTGTAGGAAGGAAACCTGCTCTTGAACTTTTAAGGTCCGACAAATGGTTATAAAACAGGATGACCTCTCTCTGGGGAATTATATCTTATATCTTATCTTATGTTTCTCTGACATTCATTAGTAAACTTCATCTGCGAAGCATCTCCAGTTAGTAAGCCAAAGTGAGCTATAAATATTACATTTACAAATGCTATTTGAAGTAAGTTGTATACCTTATTCATGAGTTTGGTGAAGGACTCTATCAGGCCACAGTGCTTTTCTGCCAGGAAGCGGTATCTTCTCTCTTCCTCCTGCAGAGCCTGGTTATGGCTCTCCCTGAGGAAGTCCACATACTCACTACCACCCTGAGGATACGCCTAATTGACAGAACATGGATACAGAAAACTGTACAAGGACACATACACAAACAGCAGTGCTGAATTTCTCTCCAGTCTACTGAAAGAGTACAGGAGAGAAACGCACAAACCTGGCTGGATCTCCTCTGCAGTCTCTCCAGAGCTGCTGCCTGGCTGCGGAGTTGCATTTCATATGTTTCCCTGCTGCCCTGTATGAGAATGCATATCACACCTGTGTAAAACCATCTCAAATGCCCAGGTATTTACATTAAGTTGACAATCTATTTGTAGAAGCTACAATTTTCAAGTTATATTAATTTCCAGCTTGATTTTTTATTTTATTTAATTTTTTTTGGACTCTACTAGAGTAACTTTGCATGATTCACAGTTCAAAATAAGCCTTTAAAAAATACTAGGTTACAGCCCTGCCACTCAGTCCATCCTTTATGTGAAACAAGCTGGTTTAGTTTGTTGCCTTTTTAGGCCACCCTGGCTTAAAACCAGCGTTCTTCTGACTGGCTGCCAATTGCAAACAGAAGGTTTGAACAGCAGGTGTGTTGGGCGCCGTTCACAGCCAGACCTCTGACATCAGACAGATCCAAGAGAAGATAATCTGAGCTGTTAGAGCAGTTTGAAGTCTTCTGGGTCACTTTGACATACACTGACCTCATTATTTTTAGCTTTGGCCACGTTTAGCACGACCACCATTGTAAGCATACATAAGAGGGAAAGCTTAAGAGGTTCAATTTACCCTATCCCGTCATACTCTTACAGTCCCTTCTGTTTTGTTCTTACTCACCAATAAGTAATCTCTGTCTAATCTGACATTTTTTTCCATGGAGTCAAGAACCTCCAAACTGAACCAGCGGAACTGAGAAGAGACAAAGAAAATAAAGTTACCCTAAAAACATGAAAAACCAGGAACATATTCATTCTTTCGTAGTCAAAGACTATGATGAGCAATGAGTGTCTACTAATATGTAACTTACTAATCCCTCTAGTTCTAAGGTGAGTCTTCGCTGGCTCTCAGAAACCTGAATCAGGACATCTCCTGAAAGATGAGTGGATTATAAATATATAATATCTTTACAGAACAAAAACATGAAATTATATAATGTGCATTTTGACTTCCAAACTCATCAGGTATCAACAGATTCTAAACCAGATTTATCAGTAATGATAAGCAGGTAAAATATGTTCTGTTGTTGCTAATATAAGATCAGACCGTCATGATTCTAAAGTCCTTTTTGTGTCACAGATACTGAATGATCTCACAACTCACTATTGCACAAGCGGCTGATTTCAGCTTTGTGTTGCTCCAGCCTAATTTATATTGTTTTATTAACCCAGATTATGTTTTTCCATGTAGGTGCATGTAATAACACGATAACTCTAGTCAAATTAAGGAACTGTATTTCTTAGTCCATTAAAAATAAAGCAGATGTTGACCAAAGTGTTGCACAGCTGATGGAGAGAAACCAACATAATGGCTTTGACAGTATTTTGGACAATTTCCACTTGTGAATACAGCCTAAAGTAAAACCGAATAAAGACTCGTGAAAGAGTAAGCCAACCCTGAAACTATAAATGTTGACAGCATCAGTCCAAGGCCCACCCTACACTGTTGACAATTATGGAACTGCCATTATATTAGCAGGTAAAGAAATGCCGTAAGAGTTATTTCAAAGCGAATCCATAAAGACGTGTTCAAGGCTGTACTAACAGTGATTCAGAACAACAATAAGGAAAGGAGACTGCTCCAAAAGTACATAGCTACAGTACAATGAAAAATATTTACCTCCTTGTTCGTTTTTCTCATAATTTTCTGTTTCTCAGATAATCAAACAAATTTCAATATCAGGCCAGTATAACCCGAGTAAATACAAAATGCTGTTTTTATATGAGGATTTCGTTTATTAAGGGAAAAATTTGCTCTAGAGGAATTTTAGCACACTTTTCTTTGCAGAATTATTTGAATTCAGCCACATTGAAGGGTTTTCAAGTATCAGTGGCGTGTTTTAGGGTAAAGGCAAAGCATCTAGATTTAAGTCTAGACTATGACTGCCTCATCCCCAAACCTTCTCTTTTGTTATTTGTTTGATTTTTGTGAGTCACTAAGAGCTGAACCTGTTTAGATTATGTTGTGTGACCTAAGAGTGCTTGAGCTGTAGGTCACAAACTGATGGCTGGAGAGTCTTCATCAGTTTTTAGGCCAGGTAGGTTTAGATAGCTTTTATCCCATATTACAGGAAAGCCAAACTCATTTTCCATTGTGGGCCACATACAGGACTGGTAAAAGTCCCCCTTCTGTCAGCGTGAAGCAGTGTAACCACGTGTTGAATTCCTCAAATATCTTCATCTAAGAAAACTGATATGCAGTTTCAGTTTTACAGTACGTCTCAGTTTTTTACATGATAAAGAAATGCTGCTGTAGTAAGTGGAGAAAAAGTACATTATTGGCCAAAATGCCCCGTAATAATCAAACTACAATTTTGCTTATGTTTTAGTTTTATTTTATTTTAAAAATGTATTACAAAAATATAAATTGCTATGGTACAAAATAAAAACGAACTTTTCTGTCATTTAAATATTTGTCTATTACATGATTACATTGTTGTAGTATTAGTGGCCATAGCCAATGTCTTTATCAGTAGCAAAAACCTGTAAAACTTAAATATTTAAGATGATTTATTAAAAAAAAAAAAAAAGATCATTTATAAACTGCATTCTGTACTGACTCTAGTTATCTCTGTCTAATGATAAATGACATGATGATCTGAAATGAGGTAGTTTGCTAGCTCTGGAAGTTATTTTCTTGCTAACGCTGTTGTGTATATTACAGTTTTCCTAGTGTTCTACTCTTTGTGGCTTTATAAAGTGTTCTTTACCACTTTGTGTGGATGGCTGGTGAACTTTCAGTTTTGACTCTTGGGCTTGAGGACCAGTGTAAGTGATTTGACAGTTACTTACATTTTTATACAGTTTCCTTGTTACTATACTGAATTGATTTCTTACAACACCTCTATTTCCTTTTTAATGAATCTCTGTGTAATCGCAATCCTGAAAGTTTCACAACTGCTTCCTGAGAAACCTCAAAGGTCAGGTCCTACTGTCAAGATTTATTGGAGTGAAGGGTAGGGGATGGACCTAAACACTGATAAGAGCTCTAACCCAGTTCCATCATCATTTTCTAGCCTACTGAAACATTGCAGTACATTCTGGAAATGTTCAACTTATTCAGCTTGGCTGTCATTTCCTCACCTCAGCAGGGAGACTATATCATTGTACAGTGTACAGTAAGAGTAGACTAATGATCCAGTTCCTACAAGGTCTTCAACTCCAACTGTTTAAACTGTCATACCGCTGACATAAAGCAGTTAAGTGAACGGAGCACGGCCCGCAGCCTGTCTTCATCTATTATTCATGTTCCCCGCTGATATCTGACACCCATCTGCCAACATTCTTAACTTACATAAAAACTCCCTGAAACATACATCAATTTAGCTTTGAACCCATCCAGCTGCTATGAATTAGAAATTAAAGTTTAAAGTTCTGCCACATTCTTCAGCCCGACTTGATTTGAGCCCAATGCAAATATTAGGTGAGTCTAAGCGAAATCTTTTTGTCCTTGTGTGTGACTGTTGCAAATGCTGCGAAATGCAGTGCCTTCAATTATTTCAAACACTATGTTTAACACACACATCAAAGGGTATGCTAATCACAAGCACACATTACGCATGCACAGCAATTATGAGTGCAATAAAATGCTGCCTCGGGCAAAACTGGGGTCCTCGCGATGAGGAAAAACATGTTTTAATGTGTTTAATAAATGGCCATGAATACTTCACAGACAAACTGCTGATATCCTGGTGAGGTGCAAAAACGTCTTTGCATTTCCACTCATCAGCTGTGGATTCTCACATACCTATGGAGCGTGATGATGCCGTGTGGAAAGCTCTCTCCCCAATCTTTGAAAGTGCGCTGAAGTAAGCGTCACTTGTCGCAGCAAGAGCTGAAACACAAACACACAAACACACACACACACAGCACAGTCGTTTGATGCTTTTCTTTAGCACAGATATGGCACTTCAAAAGCAGGTAAAGACAGCTGCTAAATATAAGAATATGGACAATTATCAACCCTATTTGTATTCAAATGTAACGTTTATATACCCAGGTCCTCTGCCTGTAATGTACCAAATGAGTGGTTGAACAAAAGTATGCAAAACAGTCTGAGAGTGTGAGACTGGCTCATTTCAGGAGTGAAACATTACTGATTGTGCTTTATTACCGTCAGTCTGCATTTTATAAAGTGACACTGGGACAGTAAAATTAACACGTTCTAATTTTGTCACTTCCTGGTCTTGGTAAGAGCTCAGTGACATGTTATAAGTTTCAGGCTCCGCCCTGAACACACACAAGAAGTTTACAGCCCCCCTTTGCTGCTGAGAAAGAGACACGTCTTAATCTAGTTCTCACGTCTGCAGGACTGTTGATGCACCACTGCTATTACTGATTAATTCTTGATACAATAATTGTGCTGTCTACACAAACACATTTAACTTAATATAATGAATATCATTTACATTTCATCATTTTAAAGATCTTCACATTAATGCACCAGCAGTGGGATGAGTGATGAATATGATGTAGGTAGTTGAAAGACAGAGTTTAATCCTGGCTCTGCAATGAGCTCTTCCCTTTCTTACAAGACTTATAGAAAACATATAGAGCTACGCCTAAAAAGAATCCAGTAGTTCTGTATTGAACAAAAGCGTCATTGTTCCATTATGTCCATATCAAATATAGTGGTGGAAGCATGTTTGTCTGCTGATAATGTAGTCATAACAACGTTGGTTGGTTACAGACCCATAACTAAGGCTGTAATAGCACCAGGATATTCCCAAAGCATATGAACTTTGGAGTTGCACTCAGATAGATACCTGGCAGCTCCCAAACTGCAGTTTATGGCAGTTATAAAGATAGTTTTGCAAATTTTCCCCAAAATAACATTAAAAAAAATTAGCAGCAGATTTTTTCTTTGTTTTTGCTTCCATACATTTGTTCTTTTCTTTCGATACTTACTCTTGAAGGCTTGGACGTAACTGTTCCCCAGTGAAACCAGTTTCTGTAGGCCTGGGTTGAACTCATTAATCAAGCTCTGTTTACAAAAGCACACACACACGCACACACAGATATGCACAATTACCACAGCTTCTTTTGAGTATTGATAGCCAGAAAAATGTAACAAACCCACTTAAAGAGGAATCAATGCGGTTAATCTTGAACTCAATTTATATTTATGAGCACACCCGCTCTCTCTCTCTCTCTCTCAACACTGGAGCCTCTGCAACACAAGATTCAAATCTCTGCTGCTATCAATTGAAAGCGAATGCTCGTTGAATTCGAAAATGACATCACGAGTTTTCCACCTCAGTATAGCCACGAAATGTTTCCATGTTACAAAATTTGCCCCAGTTCCCCGAAGAATCTCTCGAGAGGAAATCAAGTTTGCTTAATGCAAGTGCACGGCTCACACAAAGTATCTGTTTCTTACCGAGTAAATCCCCAAGGTGGAGCGATGCAGCTGATCACTATTCATTCCCGACATGTTTATATCCAGAATAGTGCAACTGTGAATTGAATCCAGAGAAGGTCTGCAGGCCTTAAATCTCTCTGAAAAAGTCCCACAACCTTCTGAAAGAAATGAGAGTTAGATTGGGTGTGGAGCTGAAGAGCGAAGGCAGCTCAGTGAGGTGGTAATCAACACCGGTATGGCCTGAGAAAGATAGGAGTAAATAATTAAACGTGGCCCAACCATAAAACACACTGACACATGCTTTGTGTGTGCTCAGGTGGGTGTTACCTGAAGTGAATGTTTTATTCAAGACTTTTAATACATATCTGCTTTCACAAAGTGTTGGAAATGATTTAAAAAAAACTGTAAAATTACACTGTTATTATCATATAAAAACCATATGTTTTCAATATAAATCCAACAATTTCTCTCGGAATTCAAGGATTTTCCTTTCCTGCCCCAAATCAAGGCTAACAGTTTCCTCATAGGTTTATCTATAGTACAATTTCTTACAATAGCATTTTTCAGGCGCTAGTTTTTTCTCCTTTTCTTCTTGGATTAATACGTATACCAGGTGATTTTTGTATTAGCAGTGGTCCGGAGGCAGTGTATATGCCTTGTAGGTTGTAAAAGCGTTGAAAGATTCTTGATGATTCTTATTTTTAGGGTTTATGAAAATGAATGAATGAACCTGTTTCTTCTCAAAGCAGTATTATTAGTTATGCAACTAATGTCATTTAAAGAAAGAAATATTTCTTTTTTAAAATGATTGACAGAGTGCTCATATCCACCTTGATAATTATACGTTAATGGCAAAAATTAAGGGAACAAATTGTTCAGTTTATTAAAAGTCCATATGCAGTATTGGATGCTTTGGATTGGGTCCCCTGGGACCTCAAAACATTTGTGCTTTTAAAAACACTGATCAACACAAACAAACTGATTGGCACAGTCATTAAAAAATGAAAAAATAAAAAAAACACCCATCAGATATGAGAAAAAACATACTTCTGGTGTCTGCACGGACCATAGTTGGTAGGATGTAGTTTTAACAATGCTCAGTCGGTACTAAGTATGCGGAGATGGTTCCATGGTTTCAAGTTGTTTACATCAAATTGTGATCCTATCATCTAAATGTCAGGGCAGAAACCAAGACTCGGATCAGAAAACACTTCTCCAGTCGTCCACTTTCTAATTTCAGTGAGCCCATTGGAAAATCAACCTGAGGTTTTTGCTCTTAGCTGACAGCACTGGCACCTGATGTGATCTTCTGCTAATGTAGCCCATCTACTTTAAGGTTCAATGTGTGATACTATTCTGCATCCTTCGGTCGTAACGAGTGGTTATTTGGCCGTTGTCCTGTGACTTCTCCCATTTTTACCCAGATAACTGCTGCCCACTGGACATTTTCTGTTTTTTGGAGCATTCTTTGCAAATCCTAGAGATGATCGTGTAGGAAAATCCCAGCAGGTTAGATGAACCCATCTGGCACCAACAACCATGGTCAGTTTGAACTTCAGCGAGTCATCTTTACAATGACTACATGCCTAAATGCAATGAGGTGCTGCCCTGTGATCAGCTGATTAGATATTTGCATTAATCAGCAGCTGATCGGGCATATCTAGTGAAACTGTACGGAAGACGTCTATAAGTATAAAGTATATAAAACATAATCATTGCTTTTTCTTCCACAAATAGCCATAAGGAAGGAAAGAAACTTGAAAACCTTTTCACCTATTGTTCAGAAAGACAGGGGCAGAGTTGCCTTGTCATATTTGATCAACATCTCAAGTGTGTGGGAGGAAGGTTATCGACTCCTCTCTTTACTTCAACTATCACATTTTGGTACGCGACCATCCTGCTGGCAAGCTGAAACACACACTGCATTCATCTCGCAGGTCAGATGGATGTATTATTGTCAGCCTGTAGGTTGTTTTTTAAACATGTGAGTGTCAGTGAACTCCTCGTGAACTCCCAGGAAAGAGGTGTGGGTGTTGCATGGACAATGATGTATTCCTTTAGTCAATTTTAGGGCATCGATTGTCTTCTAAGCCAGGCACAGAGCCCAGAAACACTTAGTGAAACCTTTGGTTAATTTTTTAAGCTATAATAAATTACAGACCCAGAAATCTCTTCGTAGATTTCAGATAAAAACCCTGTGCAAAAAGTGCAACAGCAAAATGAAACATTTCTATCACAGAAAAAAAAAACTTTAAAGCTCTAACAGCGCAGTAGCACACAACACAGAGGTCAAGGGTGACTGAGATAATAAACTGAGCTCAGACATGCTGGGCACAGAGTCTCACAAAAGCTTTTATAGACGTAATAGATCAGGACTGCATTTCTATCATTAACTGGCCAGGAGCAGCAGAGTCCAGCATGCTTTACCCAGACTGGCCTTCTTAATGCACTCACATCTTTTATAATACAGCTCAATGGAGTAAAAACAAACCATGCTACAGGGCTGACCCTTTATTTTATTTACAAAAAAAAAATCCAAAGAAACCAAAGAAAATATAATGTAATATCCATTTAAAACATTCACAGCCACAAGAATTACTGCAGGCAACATCGTACAGTTTTGTGTGCAATATATTGTGCATGCTTGTATGTTGAAGGCTCTGTTGTTAGTCTCACTTGCAAACTGCTCACGTACAAAGAAATGAACAGTCTGTCATCTTTATGGCAGTTTGATTTAATAAAGAGAGATATATCAGCCAAAATTCTAGAAAAAACAGAAATTACATAAAGTTATAAATCAATTTACATGTCATTGAGTCAAGTAACACTTTGATCCACTACAAAACAG